TGTTTTGGGATGGCTTTCTAATAATAAAATGGTATCATTTACATGTATACCTAAAGAAGTTAAGAAATCACTGCTGTTCCAAACTACTGATTTTTAATTTGATTTTAAACAATGTCTAATTTAAGAATACAAAAAATATTTATTAATGTTATGAAACAATTATGATTATTGTAATTTTACAGTTTTCCCAGTTTACTACTAGCTCTTACTAGTAGTGCCCATCTCTGCTTGGAGAATGAGGGAAGCAGCAGATGTGGCCACTGCTTTGTGACTCACCATGTGATTAGCCACGAAACCAATCGCTTTCAGAGTCTTAATACTGGGTTGGAAACTATATTTGTAAGAAAAGTTTGAACAGATACTGAAATCGATTTGGTGGCGTGATTATCATGTATTTAACAGCTGTGGCACAGTCCACAGAATGCAAGTGATGAGCTATATTCTCAAAGACTTGGTTTCTATAAAATTGTTGGAGAGGAGGACTTTTTTCTATAACTATCAAGCAGGTTCAAACTTGAGAAGGAGAAAGGATTTGCTCAGTGCCGAGGGCCTTGTCTAGCAAAGTTATGTACCTGTTGTGCACCATAATGAAATTAAGTTCATGTACTTTGCTAAATTGAAGCCTAAGCCTATAACCAGCACCGGAGCAAGGAAAAAAGCATGGCAGAAAAAATGGCAGCTATAATGGCAGCTTTACACCCAGGAAAAAAGGAAAATACAAAAACCAGTACTGTAAAAAAGTGTACTGTACTGTAGAAAATCAGAGGTTCAGATACATTTTACCAAACAGATCTTAGGAGAATTACTTTGCTGCCCTTAGGAGAATGTATCTAGGAATTACACATGATTCTGCAGGATTTCCTCAGAGAATATTCTGCATTGAGGGACATGTGAGGTTTTTTCAGTGTAGATAAGCAGGTGTCTGTACATGGATGAAACAACGTTAGAATGCAAGAAACACTGATACTCAATGCGAATACAACCCAAATGCAGAACCTCTGACTACTTCTGAGGAAATATTCCATCTTGTCTAGCTAAAACAAAGTGTTGTACTCCGGCTCGCACGTGTACAATGCAACAGAGCCATTAAGAACAGCTGTATCTAGCCAACTTGAAATGCCAATTGTCTTCAGTGGGACTCCGCTTAAAATTAATTAAATTTTTAAGTCTTGGAGAATAAAAAGCTAATCTTAGTTGCTTATGTGAATTTTCAGTACCATAACGGTTAAACACTTCATAGTTGTCAATGATGTTATCAGTCTTGCCCCAAGACAGATTGCTTGCTAGATGAGGCCTGATAATTCAGTTAGAAGCCCACCTTATCACAGTGGGTTTGTGCCTGTTGTTGGTAGATTACTATATTAAGAACTCAGTCCCCACTGGGACATTAGCCTGATATTTCATGACTCTTAGAAGGCTATGTTTTGAGGGACCAGCATCCTGCTGATTATTGCACTGTTTTACGAAAGTAGCAACTACTTTTTTCATGAGAGTTCAAGAGACACAAATCAGTATGAATGACTCGCCATACACTGTGCTTTTGGGGGAGAAACCACATCGTAGGAATCTTTCCAAAGTAATGCTTGGGTTTCACCTGACGTCAAGGAGCGTGTCTGCAGTCATTCCATGCAGCTGTTCCTGACACAGTGGTCTGTGAAAATGGTTATCTCTGTGCCCAGATCGTTAGAGAGGATAGCGGGTGTGCTAGAAGATTGCTAAGGCAGAGCCTTTCAGGCATTGTGGCCCGTGTATCTAGAGCACAAGTTAAGCCAGACAGAGCTCAATCCGCATTTTCTCCAGCTGCAACACCACTGCAGAAGAATCTAGGACAGATGTTGCACTTGATAGAGCAGTCCTGCAATGACAAGGATTCTTCAGGTCATGTTCTCTCCCTCCTCCTCCTCCTTGGGGTCTCCAAATCCTTGTGTAATAGACCCGAGATGCATGGTGTGTATTCTAAGAAGGATGTGGTTTGAATATGTTGAGGTGGCGTGAATATGTAAATGGGAGAAAAAGCTAAAACATATATGCCCTGACTGTGGGAACGAAACAACATATCTTTAAGAATTGTTCTTTGAAAGTAACCTCCCTTTCTGAGGGACGTTGCTGTAGAAAAGCAACAAAAATGCTATGCATTCTCATCCAAACATCAGAAGTAGTATTAGAGCACAATTAGTCTGAGCATCACATTTAATTAAAATTCTAAACCCTCCTAATGTATTCTCTTATAAAGGAAAGATTGATTCCAAGGTATTTTCAAAAGAGAGAAAAAAAGAAAACTTGACATTATTCCCTTTAAGGATTAATGCTCTTATTCATTATTATTAGATCTTGAAAAAAGTAAAGATACTACATTAGATGACTTTAAAGGACCAAAAATACATCAATAGTTTCCTCTTCAAAGATGAGATTGAAAAAGTTACCATGATCATACCTACAAGAAAAAATGGTATAACACTAAAAAGTTAGCAGTTAGAATTTTTACTTGTCTGTCTTCCTTTGATGTAAAAAAATCTTTTGAGAGATGAATGTAGACTTAAAAACAGTGAAATTACTTAAGAAATTCAGTGGAAGATTTAACCTTTTGACTTCTGCCCAATGTCCCAAAACCTTCTGAAAATGTTCACGGTGATTCAGCGAGATGGGTTCAAAGCACTAACATCTCATCTGCAACTAAGAGTTGAAATAGCCCTTTTACTTGAAAAGCTTTTTCCTTTCATTTCCATACTCCTCCTCTTTCTTTCTATGATATTCCATTCTTTCTCTTAAAATCTGTCATTTCCCCCATCTTTCCCACCTTGCAATGCTGAAATTCCTGACGACACTGCTAGATCACTTGTTTCCTTCTGAGCTGAGTCAATTCCATTCTCTACTGGAATTCCCAACAGTGAACAAGGAAACTCTGCTTGCAGAAATGCTGTGTCAGCAGAGGGTGAGCCTACTACCAGAATCTTAGAAATTATGAAAAAAAGATGAAAAAGATTAAAGTAAAACGCTGCCAACACCACACACAAAATGGGCCGTTTGTGTGCCTGTTGTGGCTACTAATACGCATATTAAATATTGAAACTAGACAAAAATGCAATATTAAGAAATTCTTTGAAGATTTTTGGAAGTAATTTTTGATTAAGAATTAGACTTAAAAAAAAGTCAGCAGCTCTGTTAAATATTAGAGCTTACATTTGCGTAACAGAGTAAACATATTTAGTCTACTACAATTGCAAATAGTATCTTAGAAGTCTACTCAAACCCTGAAATAAATGATATAGAGGGGAAAAAAAATGTCATATGTTTCCTTTCTAATTATTAAAGTATCACAGTTAATAAACCGAGAATAGTGTCTAGTGATAATGTTTCAGCTGAAAATGGAAATCTCTGATGTTAGTTATTATCTATTTTCAGGGTTGGTTTTTTTTAAAAAAAAAAAGTCTTGCCTTGTGAAGTTTACCCTACAAGGGCATAAGGGCATTTTACACTGAATTCAGTGGCTGAAAGATGAGAAGGAACTAGAGCAGAGAGAGGCAATAAAGTACTCTCTTCTTCATTACTATTGAACTTACGAACATTTAGTGAGGAAACCAAAGATTAACAAAGAGGTTGTTTAACAATAATCAAATACTAATAACGGTGTTGGTGATATTTCTTATAAAGACTCTGTCAGCTCCAACTGCACTGAATATGTTATCATAGGCTTTAAAGTATACAAATAGATTCAAATATAATTGCTTGAGTTACCATTCCTACAGCTTTCATTTTAATGTGCTTCAAGCTAGTCACCTCCTTGTAAACGCTTTCCAGCGTATAATCAATCCCCTCTGGCCTTTCCTTGGATGTACAGAATAGATTTTAACTCTGTCAGCAAAGTAATTAAATAAAAACATCTGAAGGAAAAATATTTTTGTGATTACAGGAAAATGGAAATCAAGACTTTTCATGACAGAAGAATGCACCAGTTTTGTATTTCGGATGGATCCAGACTTCTCCATTCCTCCCTCATCTACGGAGCACTTCATGAAACCTCCTTCTGGACGTGCTACGTAGGTAACATCTGCAAAGAACAGGGGCATCACTGGAAAAACAGCTACGGTTCTTTGTTGTACGCTCACTGCAAAGAGCTTCCAATTAGAATTACAGCTCATCAAGACAGTGCCAGCAGGCTTCTGGGTGGTTAAGCCTCCAATTTTAATTGAACTGCCTTTAGCTGGTGATAAAATCTGTCTTTTTAAACAGGCAAACTGCATAGTTCCTGTAGCAGCTTAAATGCAAGTTAAGTTTGCATTCAGGATAATTATGTGGAGTTGCATCTAATTGATTTAGTTGAAATGTGTATTTTATTCACCAAAGTGCTACAAAATGTGATTCTTTTCTTTAGAATGTCCTGCTTTTTTCCATTTCCTATTTCTCTCCTCTTCTATTTTTGTCATCATGTTATCCTTTCAGAATAATTAATATGTAAGAAATAAGACATGAGACAAGTTCTCTGGTTGATATTCGAGGTTCTTCAGAGTTTCCTTACATATGGAAAAGTAGTTTAAAGACTACACTTAATTCACATTATCCATTTTGTACTGCCAAAACCATTCACCCCTGTGTGAAATTTAGAGAAACATACTGCGCTGATTTATAAGACAGTAATGCCAGAGATCACTGGATTTTTTCCAGCTTCCTATTCAACAAAAGAAGGAACAAGGAAAGACTGGTTGTTTTTTTTTTTTCAAGACATTCACTAACTAAAGCAGAGTTTTAAAACAAGTCCTCTCCAAGCATAGCATGACAGCCTTTAAAGGTATGGAGTCATTCCAATATAATAAACACATCAGCCATGTATAAATAAAAGCATAAGATAATTCTGGGGAGGGGTAAGTAAAAATGGAAGCAGTGATTTCTTTAAATCTCATCATAAAAATGAAGTTATAAGTAGTAATGAAATTAAATTCTTAATTAAAGAAGTAGTATAAGGGTATATTTTAACTATACTTTTTTTTTTTTAAATTCACAAGGTGTGATTGGGACATTATAAAAGTGGCCACAACTGAATGTGGTGTAGTTAAGCTGTTAAGAAATCAGCCTTTCCTATCCAGCAAAACAGGTAAGCACGACTATTACTTTTGAGTGCACCAGTTTCCTCAGTTATTTTTATTATATTCATTTTAAAAAAAAAAAAGAGATGACCAAAAAAGTATGTTTTGCTTTCTGTCTGCATCGCTGTGCAGGCATGTCTGACAGCAAAACAATCCGCCTGTTATATCCTGGCTCACTTGTCCAAGGGGTGCCATTTAGCTGGAGGCCTAATTTGCAGCTGATCAAATATGTGGACATGTCATTATTTTTCAATGATGGTGGGAAAGTAATTATTGATCTTCAGTTGCAAAAGCAATATTCAGAGTGAAAAAAAGGATTTTTGAGACATTCAGCCACAAAAGCTAACAAATGCGGCAAAAATTATTCTCTAAAGTGTGTTCTTTATTAAAAACATTTTAAAAATCAGATTTTTCTATCCAAAATAATCAGCAGTTGAAAGTATGACTAATGATCCATCTGCCAGCAATGTGTTGTAATCTTTCCAGGACAGAGGCGTTCAGGGGAGGTACCCAGAAGTCATTCTGAGTGCACACGCCTAGAATACTGCATGAGAGTTTATTTTCTTATCAAAAGTTCTTTTCAAAGTTAGTATTTCAGCTGATATAGGATTTGCCACTCAGGATTACCCCGGCATAAGGATACTCAAACTGCTATTATGACCCCTTTTGCGATGCTGGAGGAAGCCCAGAGTTACGTTGTTGATTGTAATGAGTAAAAAATGAGAGAAACAAAATGCATTGCAAAGTTGTAACGCATCACTAAAGATTACTAAGCTTTTTCTTGACTATTTATCTCTCTTCTTTTTTATGTTTGCCTTCTTTTTCCTGGCAGTTAAGTTAGATGTTAATGGAAAAACCATTAAAAAACCCCATTATCCCATGAAGAAAAAAATGAATGCACTCAAGCGGAAAAGGAAGACTTATTGATTAATTTTCAGGTAAACCCTCTTGTCTGACACTTAGCAACAAAGGAATACGCTTTTATTACTTGGCCAGATAGTTCAGATTTCTGTTCACTCTTAGTAAAAACCTTTTTTATAACATTTATAAAACTTTATTACAGAGTTATGAGAATAAAATTAGATTTCATAACTCACATGAGATCTTGAGGGACCTGCATCTATAAGCTTTAAAGTCATTATTAAACTTAATGCAGCTATTCTGATAAAATGTGTGTTTCTTCTCATTTCTCTGAAAATTTTAACCGTAATTTTTCTTTCCTTGGATATGCAAGATTGTCTTTGGCAATCATTTAAAAAGTTTATTTATTTTAAAAAAAAAATCCAATTGTTATAATTAGTTGATGTTATAAGTCAGGTGGAATTTACAGGCATATTCTATTAAGGGACTTAAAACTTAAGCTAAATCACTATATAGTTGATGTCACCTGAACTCCCCTATTCAATGAGCACTTTTTAGAAATCTAAGTTGCTGTTCTTGTAATTGTATAGAGAATAACCGTGAATAAGCGTTTGTACATTCTGTCTCAATAAATAGTTGTGAATTGTATGTATTATTTAAATAACGTGTACTAAATTCTAGAGATGTCAAAATTAAATAGTAATAAGTGTTAGGCAGGAGGTATTCCCAGCACTGAAGGATATGCATCTGCCTAAGGTACAGTTAGCAGAGGTTCCTCAGAGGAATAGTCAGAGTTTGGAGCCCAGTCTAGATTCTCCAAACTAGCCCCTGGGGGTTCTGTCTCTATTTACTGCGCATACAGCTGAAGGACGTCAGCTGCACAAGTCAGATTTTTCAAGTAGATACCAAAATCTAGGTGGTATGAATACCTTATGATGAATTTTCAAAGTCATCTTGCAAATCCTGTCACGTATTTTGAAGTTTAGTATAAGCATTTAAATTGTATATTTTAAAAGACGTCTTCTGAAATACAGAAGATGTGTTCTAGCTCTATATATAAAGCAAGTAAATTAGGAAAATAAAAAACTTCACTCATTAAACTTGGTTTAAAATCTTTTGAACCTCCATGAGAACTACATAATGGGCTAACATTCACAGAGACAGCATTACAAGGAGCAGTACCATTTTTTTTTACTCCTGTTGAATGGATAAGTGTCTTCCTTGAGCTAGTTAAGAGAAAGCTAAATAGTCAAAGAAGAAAATGTAATCATAGACTTTCTAAGAAAGTTAAGAAATGTTATAAAATCAGCACCATCATACAAAAAAGGATTGGGGGGAAATTCTCTAACCCTTTTCCCTGCTGTCTGAAAATATATACTGAAGGAGACCATATGCAAAGTTAAGACAGAACACTAGATTTGAAAAGCCAAGATACATGTTCCCTGTAGGGGATGTTTGGATACACCTGCCTATAATTGGTTTTAGATCACAGCCCGTTTTCCAGCTGCAGCCCAGTAGTCTCAATTGATTTATTCATTTTAGCAAAATTGTCTACTCTTGTACTTCCTGCTTTGAATATGAAGTTTTCTCAAAATCATCTAGTATCATGAGAAAACAGTTTTCACCATGTAACATGATATATCGTTACACTAAAGACTGAAGAACTAGGATTTACTAATGTGGCAAATTTCAGGACTGTGGATAATACATAGATTTTCAAAACACAATTGAAATGTGGTAAGGGAACAGCATAATTGGTTTTACACACTAGGAATAAAATTTTCATGTAGTTTAATGCAATTTTTAACATAGGCTGGATAAAGCTTTTCCAAATACACAAAAGACTTGGCTGGAAGCTATGGTTCTTCAGCTTGTATTACTTAGTATGATTTAAGCAGACATAACTCAATAGTCTAGAAATGTTGTGTTTAAATTTAAATAGTTTTGATCTCATTATTTTAGATTTTGGTTAAAGTTTTGGGGGTATATTAGAAAAAAAATAATCAAAAGAGAACAAATAAAAAGTTCTTAAAAGTCCCTTTGATTCTTACAATGTTAGATCTCATTATTAAAAGTATTAAAGAGAAATCATTTTCTACAGAAAAAAGCTAAACTTGATGCCCACAGTGTTCTATTACACAGATAGCAGCAAGTGGACAATGATAAATCTCTGATCTTCATACTATTATAAGATAATTGAAGTTGATGGGGTTATTCTCCATCAACTGTAAGATAATTGAAGTTGATGGGGTTATTCTCATGTGACTGAGAGAAGACTGAGGCCCAGTCTTTTGAATTGTCTATTTAAAAATCATGAATGAGAGGAGTTTTAATAAGAGGAGTTCCTGTAACGAAACAATTTTGATTATTCCAGAAGGCTGGCCCCCCTGACAGACAAGAGATTTCCTGAAATTTCCCAGGCATAAAACTGAAAACATTATATAGATGTGACAGAAGGAATTGTAGTCTTGCAGTCGTCTTAAAACACTCGATTTCAAGGCAGTGATGACATAGAGATTTGTACTCGTTACAGCATAGTTTTATTGGACATAAACATTTATACCAGGCTGGTGTAATGGCATGCTACAGACTTCTCTACAGAAAATACTTTGGGACTACCAATTCATATCAAATAATCTCCAAACAAAAGTATAGATAAATTTTTAGAGTCAGTTACTGTCTACCGTGAGGTGTGGGCAGTGAAGACCTTGGCACAGTTGTGTGCACATTCAAGGGTGCTCTCCGGGTATTTTATTTACATCAGTTACCTAGAAGCAGTTAAGAGAATGACTCTCACCAGAAAGAGAATGAAAGTATACGACTTGTTGTCAATGAAGTTAAATTAGGAAGCTGCTTAAAATCTTTACTGAATCATAATCTCATAACTTCAATTTTCCTATGGTGTATTAATTGAATAATACTGTTTAGCGATTCTTTTTTCAAATAACCTTACATAATATGTGCTGCTTAATGAACAAAAGACAATGAAATCCATCCTTTGATATTTTTTCCACATAATTATCTGTTATTTATTGAAGCAATTGTATTTAAATCAAGCGAAGCAGTAGTGTGCTTTCTCCCACCGGCAAGGCTTTCAGGAGTAAATAAAAAATTATCGATAAATGAATGCTTTTTATATTGGAGAATAATTTTAATATCTTAATATGGGTCATTTATGTGTGTTTGCTGTATACCACCTAGAGTTATCGCAGGATCTATAGATGGTCATTTCTAGCTTTTTTTAAATGTTATACATAACAGACTAAATGTGGTTTCTTTGCCGCAAAATTAAATTCTCTGTTATGTCTTGATTACATTATTATTAATTCCAATGATAATGAAATTCAGCATGAATGTAACCTGTATTTCTGTGCTACGTGGCTATATATGTATTCTTAAATACTTAAACCTTTTTTATTTTTCTATTGAGATGAAGGTTCGTAAACTTAGCTTCATGAAGTTGACTCTGGTTGCAGATGCAAAGGGTACAGTATTCGCACAGTAAAAGGAGAAAGATGCTGTAGACTAACAACCAAGTAAGAGCCGTGCCACGCTGAGAGTGTCAGCCTGCCTCGTCCCCGAGCAATCTTTTGTACCAGCCACTACCTTAATGCCCTTGCACAGGGAAGGATTTTTACATTAGAAAATATTGGACTTGGTTATACACAATGAACTAGTGAGAACGGTAAGATCACGCATTTGCTGTTAAGCATGTACCTACCTACCCCTCGACTTTTAAGTGTCTTAAAATCAAATGCAGGTTCAAAGGCAGGATCAGGGCCTCTGTTGGAAAAGACTCAAAGATCTGCTTAATACTCTAGCGAATAGGTGTCATTTGAAGCCCAGCGAAATAAATTGGAGGGGGTTTAATGGTTCATTGGGTTAAGATCTACTTCCAGAAACAGTTCCGCTGAAATCAGGTCATACGGTGTAAAGCATGTGTGTCCCCCCACAGGCAGGATCTGAGTTTGAAGCCCAAAGTATGAGTTTAAAAAATGTGGGATAGTTACTGAACGTTCCAAAAGAGATCAGTGTACATCTCAAAATCACAATGCTAAAATAGAGGAGGCAGTGTAACCAAGAAGCAAGGTATTTGGTGGATTTTATTTTTGGTGGATTTCATTGATTACTTTGGATACACTAAATTAATGCAAAATCTTAAATGCAAAGAAGTCTTGTGCCATAGGAGTCCATGGCTTCTTGTGCTTCTTTTTTCTCTTATACAAATCATAAAAAATATTCATTTATTGGGTTCAAGCAGAAATTGAACCTTTCTTCAGACTTCCAGCTACTCCAAGTTAGTGTCTGATTCAGTACCTCTTTAAAGAAATATGAAACCTTAACATACTGGCATGTTTAATATGACTATATGTAATAGAGGTTCTTAATGTTATTTGATCTATACAGTAGCTTTTATTAAATTAATACTATTTTATTAATTTTATTAAATTAAAGCTATTGCTTTAAAGGTGCTATTAAAACTTGTTTCTGATGATAATGGTAGCTTTTTCCATAGGAAGAAGAGCATCCTCTTGGTCCTGGCTACCTACAAAAAGTTGGTAAATTGTACCAATTCCTTCTGATAATTTTGTTATTTCTTCTATGGAAATGATGCCTGAATAGAGATTAATTCCTTTAACTCCTTTCAATCTTCAGAGGTTCTGCCCTTCAGCAACTTGCAGGAGTAGGCTCAGGAGGAAGACCCCAAAATATGAAAGGTTAAAAAGAATTTTTTTCATCAAAAATAGGACTGGTAAGATTCAAGCTGCTTTTTTATTGATCATAGTACCTGTAAGGTTCTCTATCGTATATTAAAAGCTACAACTGTTATTAAGACAGGAAATGCACTAGTGCATTTCTGAAACACATCTATGTTATCACAGGAGAATACAACAGAACACAAGCATATTACATGTAAATATTTAAAAATTTAAGTGTCAGGAAATAATATTTGCTGCTCTAATATTTCATTTCTGTAACAACACACTCAAAATGCCAAGAATGCTTAGAGCCCCTAAGCTCAATAATTTGAAGGCAGTCTTTTTGTTCACAGTCCTTAAGATACAGAATAATGATCATTATAGATTTTTGCCTTATGCTGACATCTAAAACTCACATGGAAAATACACCAGAGTGGCCTATGATGATAGTACAGAGAAAGGAGACTTTTAAAACCAAAAAGAAAGTACACAAATTTTTTTCTTTCTTTCTTTTTTTTTTAATTTAATTGCCATGTGGTGACTAGGGAAGTGTGCCATGCTATGCCTCCATCCTGCACAGGACTGATGCAGCATATAAATAACACTTCAAACCTAATTAGTCATTTTTTTTATCATCGTCGAAGGAACATGTCCCAACTGATATCGAGGCCCAAGCGTGCTGAGTGCTAGAGTACATAAAACGTATCACTCTGGAGAGCATCTCTCTGGAGTCCAGAAATTAGGAACATCCTATAAGTCTACCAAAGCAGTTGATCAAATTATGGTGGCTCCCCACCATGTTGTTACTCTTTCTCCTTCTTGTGCCTCAGACCTCACCCTCATTTCACAGCCAGATCCCCTCCACACCCTGTGCATGCAGCTCCCCAGGCCTTCCAGGCTGTATTCTCTTTAAATAATGTTTTTATCGTAACACCTCTCGCTTTTGTTATTGCTCTATAAACAGCCAAAGCAATTGGGTAGCTTGTGGGCCTGGGAGCAGGGTTACTGTTAGCAAAACGACACTCTCCAATTCCCCAAAATCTTCTGTTCTCAACCAACATTTTGTTGGACCGTTCGACTCATGGGAAGACCCAATAATTTCAGAGAAGCACCAAAAATGTTGCTTTTCTGAGCCGCAGCAATGCCAGGCCTCCACAGCTGGCAGGAACTCACTGCCGTTTGCCCCCGGCTGCCCGCTGAGGCCACAGGGGAGGCCCCTGCTGGCCTTTGCTCTTCCCTTTAAAGAAGTAAGGAAGCGCGTTACGTTTTTGTGGATCTAAATCTGCCCTAAAGATTTATTTCATTTTTAGGTACAAGGGAAGGAAGGAGGGCTCTCCTTAATTAGGGGCGAGTCTCTTGAACCAGGCCCGCCGCCCTCCCCGCCCCACCGCCGCCGCCAGGTGGCGCCTCAGCGCCGGCAACCGCCTCCCCTGCCTGGGCCGCCCCCGGGGGAGCGACCAGGCCCGGCGGCCCCCCCGCTCCGGTGAGCCGGGGCAGCCCTAGCGGGGGACCCCTCTATGGAGGCCCGTGTTGGGCCCTGGAGGCTCCGCTCCGCCCGGTGGCGTGGAGCGGCGGGAGAGGGGAGCCGGAGGGGCTGCGGGCCGGGGCGGGCTCTGTTAGGAGAGGAAAGGGGAAAAAAAAGAATAAAACTCAAAATATTTAGGATTTTCTGATGGAGTTTGTCAGTTTATGGGCTGGGCTGCTCGCTTTTTTTTTTTTTTTTAATTCCTGTGAACTGCTACAAATCTTGGTTGGCTTTCGGTGAGCGGTGGTAGAGGGAAGCTGAACGATGGAACAGAAATGTGTTGGGTCTGGCTGAGGAAAGGCTTTGGGTGCTCACTGACACCCCCCTGCCCTCACAGGACTGCTCCCTGGAGCGCACAGCTCTCCTGCGCCTCTATTTCCGTGGGCTTCTTCTGACTTGTGATTTTGGAGCCTCCACCGGATTTCACTGAATTTTTAGAGTTGGAAGGGACCATAGAGATCATCTAGTCCAACTCCCCTGCTGAAGCAGGATTGCCTAGAGCTAGAGCATGTTACTCAGGACTGCATCCAGGCAGGTCTTGAAAATCTCCAAAAAGGGGACTCCACACCCTCCCTGGGCAGCCTGTTCCAGGGCTCTGTCACCCTCACCGTGAAGAAGTTTTTCCTCATATTTGAGTGGAACCTGTTATGTTCCAGCTTGTGGCCATTGCCCCTTGTCCTCTCAATGGGAGCCACTGAAAAGAGTCTGGCTCCCTCCTCCTTCAACCCTCCCTTGAGATACTCGTCAGCATTAATAAGATCTCCCCTCAGCCTTCTCTTCTCCAGACTAAAGAGTCCCAGCTCTCTCTAAGAGTCCCCTATCTCTCATAAGGGAGATGCTCCAATCCTTGAATCATCTTTGTTGCCCTTCGCTGGACTCTTTCCAGTAGTTCCTTGTCCCTCTTGAACTGGGGAGCCCAGAACTGGATGCAGGATTCCAGTTGTGGCCTCACCAGTGCAGACTAGAGGGGGAGAATGACTTCCCTTGACCTGCTGGCCACACTTTTCCCTTCATCCAAATTGTTCCCAAGTGCATAAACGCAGTTCCTCTCCTAAGCGAGCACACACTTTAAAAAAAAAAACAACAAAAAATATATATATATATTCTTTGGCATGAGGCTGGTCTGGTGAGCTGTGTAATTCCCAGCATTTGGCTGGGCTGTGGGAGTGCAGAGAGCAGAGCACGCCCTGGGCACGGGCAGGGATTCAGGGACTCCACCGCCCAGTTAATAAAGCTTTTATGGTTTAGTGTCTCCTGCGTTGAAGCCTTCTTGGCCAGGGGACAATACGCTTGTGTCTTAATATATGGTTGCACTAAAGCTTCAATGACTTAGATGTACTTTGAACATGATTTCCTGAGCCCCTTTGCATCCAGTGAAAGACGCAGTAATTATATTTATTTCTCAGGTGTTGCTTTCGGAGTAGGGAGGCCTGAGGGCACAGATGGGCTGGAGCATTGGTTGTGGGTTGGCATATTCATTCATCAAATATTACTGAAATACTCCTTTTCAGAAGAAGCGGCCTACTTCCAAGTGGCTATGCCTTCTGTTGTGATGCTTTTATTTTCCTTGGAAAAAAAAGAAGCACCTGGTAGTGATGTAAGCCTTTCCTTAAAATGGTATATTTGGGGTGGGCTGTGGCTCCACCTCAGTCACCAAACACAGAACCAGTTGATGTATTTTTGGGCTGAAGGACTGATCAGGAGGCAGGGAGCTCAAGCGTAGATTCTCCATTTTCTTAACGTGTTTTCCCTTGTCTCTGCCTATTGTAGGAAATAGCCTGCAATTTGTGCCCTATGAGTGTTCTCTATTGAGTCAAACATGATCTGGTCTTCTATTTACTGTTTCTAGTGAAATGAACAATATGTGAATATATACGGCTACAGTGTTTTGCATTGCTGAAATTGCCAGTAGGTATCATTCTTAAATCACTCTTTACTTGGTGCGATGAGACTTTTTTTTCTCTCTCTTTGCCTGTCAGGCACACCAAAGTTATTAAGGTGGTTTCTTTAAAAATCACCCAGCCAAGGAGGTCACTCTTCTTATGGTAATAAGAGACAAAGATATCCCCTGATGTTCTTCTCATAAACCTAATTTAACTGTTTGAGGGTTTTTTTAAAACAACGATTTTAACTAGCTTGTGCATTAAATTGTTTGCATTTAGGCTTTTTTCTTTTGGGGGGAGCTTCATTCATGAGATGAATTTTAGGTTGAGCATATAAATATATCTTGCATTTGTTTAAGCTTTCTATTTCTCATATGTTTAGTCATTTTTCATGTAAATAAACTCTGGATCAGATCAGCTACTGAAATGGACCATAACTGTGC